TATACACAATAATAATTTGACTTATCTGTAGAAATTACTAATGTGTAACGTGATACGCTCCACTTGCAATAATATAATAATGATAATAGTAATAATGATAATAATAGTAATAATAAATAATTGTTAATCTTACGTTTAAACTTTAATTGTAAAAAAAGGAAAAAAAATTATATTGTTAACACTCTTGAATTAAAATTCAAAAAAACCATGAAACGTTCTAAGGGGAAATCTAAATTGGGCATAGCAATAGCTAATACTAGTACTAATACTAACATAAAAGACACAAAGAGATCTCACTTTTTGGCTCTGATTTCCCAATTTGATTGCTTAGCAATACTATTTCCTGATCGCTGATTGGTTGCTTTTATAAATTTAAAGGAACTTCCGCTCCTGATTCTCGAACTTTATGGCAATGGTTCTTGGAGTTTCTATATCTTCTAAGTAGATACCTCTAATATCATTTCTGCTAATTTAAACATTTATTTTCTATAAAAAATTTTCATATTCACATCCATCCATCCATTCATCCACTTTATCATGATTTTTCTTTCTTTTTTTTTTTTTTCGTTAATAAAACTTCTTTTCTCTCAATCATATAAAAAAGTAATAACACATGAATATAAAGGCCTTTTTATTGCAAATTAAGAAATAATCGTTAGCCCAGCAATACCGCTTCTCTTTTTGCTTTTATTATTGTCATTGGTTTAGAATATATCTAGAGCATATAGAAGGCTATTACTATATAAAAATATATAGTTAATACAAAATCTACCATGGAAAACAGTATCATCAAAAATATTTTTTAGCAATTGGCTCATTGTGTTTTTAAATTAGCTGGTACTAACGAAAGAAAAAAGAAAAAATCGTGATCAATAAAAAAGGACATTAGCACAAAATCACGAGGAACCTAGAAAGGAAGAGAGACAATCAATTAGGATTGCAGTTCATCATAAGTATGTTTTCAGTGCTTTTTATTGGTTTTAGACAAATGATATCTTTGAGGTCACATATCAATGGCATTGGATGTTAACATATAAATTTATGCGTTTATGCAAATTTAAAAATCACAAATGCCAGTGATTGGATATTTTTACAATAAATAGATGATAGTTTGCAGGATTTGAAGCAATCATATAAAAACAGCGTCCTACCAAAGGTTTGAATAATGTAAAGTTAGATATTTGTTTATATACATGTACTATTACAATCTATAATCAGTATTCGTTGCTGGAATGCGAAAACGTATTGCTGCTTCTGGAACCCATTACCAGTCGCATTAGTTAACTTGATCCATAAAAAGTCTGTACGCGTAAATAGGAAATGACTTTTCGAGGGAAAAGAGTTTAGAATCAAATTAGTTTCCATAATGAATAAAATATGAATTCATACATGGGACCACAATAGAGCGTAAGGATCAAAAGAAAGAGTTAGATGAGAAAATTAGTCCTCGCCATAGATGTTAACCGGAATTATTTTCCTGTTTCGGCAATATTGATATTATGAATGAACATAATAATGCTATTCGATTCATTTCAAATTAAAAAGTCTCTATGAAAACCATCTATATTTGGAAATGATCTTCCAACATAAATAAAATGAAACTTACCCTAAAATTTTCTATACGGTCTATACGGGCATAATAATAATAATAGTCTGTTTTTTTTCGGTATGTCCCAAATATCTAATTCATTCATTTAATTCAATTTTTTTTAAAAAGCCGGTCTTTAGTAACCACAAGGTTTTTTCCATATTTACAATTCAAGGCCGAGAATGAAATTTTATTTATATAATGTCACAAATATTACATACAATGATACAATGTTTGTGAAAAAAAAAAATTTTTTATTTATATATTTAGAATTCATTTTGTTTATGCGTTGTGCTTCTATTGAATTAATTGAATTTTGTTGTATAGGCATCATTCATTGTGCTGCATATTTTCTCGCACATGTTTCTTATTATAAAAAAATTATTTTCAAATAGAATTTCATTTTCTATTTTCAAATTATAATACTTCTATTGCTCGAGTGTCCTTACCCATGCTTGCTGCTGCTCTGTGCTACTAAAATAAATTACGTCATGCTGACCTAATCAGGGTTAGCCATCCATGTCACTGATAAAGTACTAAATATGGTTAAGACGTTACACCAGTGGACCAACCCTGGTTCCAATCATTATTATAACTTGATCGCGTGGAAATCTAAAAAAACAAAAACAATTATTACTTTTCAAAGATGTCCAATAAATTTCCATCGTTAGAAAGCATCACAGAATTAATCAACATACTCATTAATTCCAACACAGATGCTTCACCATTAAAACATGTTTGTAAACTTGTGAATGATTTAACAAAATTGATGAATGAATCAGACTTTTATGATGTAGAAATTAAAATTGGAGCAGAAGATGATGATGTTAGAATTTTTAAGGCTCATTCAAACATTCTAAAAGCTAGATCTTCATACTTTAATGCGGCTTTATCAAAAAATTGGGTCAACAGGTCCACAGAAGGCATTATTTTATTTGAAAAAGATAACATATCTCCTAAAGTGTTTGAAGTTCTTTTAATGTAAGATTAATTTTTTAATACAAATTGATAATTATTTGACTATGATAATAATAAAGCATAATTTTTTCTGTTCTTATTTTTAAAGATATATTTATAATGGTGTTATTGATATAAATATTTTGGATCCTCATGAGATTGTTGAACTCCTTGTGGCTTGTGATGAACTAAATTTTGATGAATTCCTTGATGATTTGCAAAGCTACTTGATTGAAAACGAAAAAGAAAAACAATGGATTAAGCAAAATTTAAATTATCTTTATCAAATTTCGTCAAATTGTCAATCATTTAGATTGCTCCAAGATTATTTTGAAAATTTATTTGATAGGGAACCAGAATTATTCTTAAAATCTATTGATTTCAGAGATATCGAGGAGTCAATGCTTATATCCATTTTAAAAAGAAACGAATTAGAATTAAAAGAAGCTTATATTTGGAATTGTGTCATCCAATGGGGAATTAGGCAAATTGGAAATTTGGATGAAAAAAATATCTTTGTTTGGAAAGAAAGTGATATTAAGGAGTTAAAGCATGTGCTAGAAGACATTATTCCTTTAATTAGATTTCAGGATATTTCTTACAAGGATTTCATTGTCAACATCATGCAATACCAAATGCTTTTTCCTAGCGTTTTATGGCAAGATATTTCAAATTATTATATGATTCCTGATAAGCAATTAGTTTCAAATTTATTACCATCAAGAAATTCATTATTTATTAACGAAAAACTTACATTGGCTTTTGCAAGTTGGATTGATAAAAAAAACCCACCGTATACTTTATTAGGGGATGTCAAATATAAGTGCAAACTTTTATATCACAGTAGTAGAGATGGTTTAAATGCAAATGTGTTTCATCAAAAATGTGATAATATCAACAAAACACTTATAGTTGGGAAAATACAAAATTCAGATCAAATAGTTGGAGGTTACAATCCCCTCAATTGGAATGGAAATAATGAATATAAAAATACAACTGAAAGTTTTATATTTAATATTAGTAATAGAAATGATATTAATACTGCACAATTTAGTTATGTTATTAATAATGATTATAGGCATGCAGTTCTTTGTTATCCTAATGGTTTACCTCATTTTGGTAGTGGTTATGACATTTCATTTCGTACAGGTGGCGGTTTTGATGGTATACAAATGACCTATAATAACATCAATATAGTGCGTGGTAGTAATTTTGATGAATTAGAAGTTTTTCAAATAACTGATACAAAATCAATTTAAATTTATATAATTTTTTGTATATAAATATAAATATTATTATAAACCTTTTGATAATAAACATGTCAACCTATTTTTCAACCATTCAACTAATGCTTGGAAGAAAATGCTTTTCTTTTCTATTATCATTATTTTTATTATTGAAAACAAAATGGTAATTAACTACAGGAAAAATGAGTAAATTTTGATAATACAGCCTTACAAATAGTTTTCATTGATATGGTATAAAGTCAAGCACTATACCTTATTGTACAATAATAACAAATTAATTATGGCTAATAATTCAGATCATTGCAAAAGAATCTCAAAGTTATCATAGAAATAGATTTACTGCCTATTAAAAAGTGTTTGAAAATATTCATAAACTATCTAAAATGGAAGAAAGCTCAAATACAACTATAAAATCTCTACCAGGCCTCAAGAATTCATAAAATCCTGTAGGGAACTTGCTTAAGGGGGGAAGGAGGAAGAAGAAAATAAACAAAAATCACCATTTGAAAAGAACTAAAAGCATATCATAATCTTAAAAAACTTGAAGACAAACATATTAAATTAATAAATGGCAACAGCACTCATAACTATAATTTTTCTTACGATGAACAAAAAAAATTAAAAGACAAATTGAATAATAATAATTGTGATCAAGATTCTTTTTTATCGAATTACCACAACATCAATATTCAATGTGTTGTATATGATTGGAAACTATTAATATTTTTTTATGGGTCTTTGAAAAAATTTTGGAGGAATAGATTTGGGGTGGCTTGAAGATAGCTTGACGAGGATTCCAAGTGTGTATTCTGAGTTGGACAATCATAAATGCAACTAAAAGAAACATTGTTTATATAGCTCATCCAATGCTGATTCAGATAAAAAAATATAAGGATTTTGTATTTAATTTTTCATTTCCCACTTCGACGATATGCTTTTGGCGATAAAATATATTACCATAATCATTAAAAATTTTGATTCGAATAATTTCAACGATTCGAACCGATTGCACATAATCATTATATTATAATTTAGGTTCTCAAATTATATACGCCAAATTTTATCATTTTTTTATTAAACTTGATCGAAATTTTTTGTAAACAAGCATAATTTTTGACTGAAAGTCAATATGGTGAAAGATTTGAAATCCTGTTTTCATACATTCAGTGGAAAAAAAATCGATCACGAAAATAAAATTTTCTAGCATAGAGCATATAACCTCAATTATAATTGTGGTCCTACAATGATCGATTTTTATCTAAAGATCAATAGATTGAACCTCAAGAATCGTTTTCATGTTAGGATGTGATACTCTCAGAGTAAGTATATGTATTAAAAAAATTCCATAAAAAATTCCATTTTTACCGCTCAATAGCCAACTATTATATCTATGAATTGGTCGCTCTAAAATAATAAAAGAAAATCAAATAACATAGGGACAGTTTTACACTGAAATCTACTAAAAAAGCAACGTAATTTTGATATGTTCGCTTGATTCGAATACTTTATGGTACGTAACTCAACCGAAACCAGTAGGCTCTATTATTATGACTATTACTATTATTATTATTATTATTATTATTATTATTATTATATTTAAATATTTAAAAAACTATTTCTATACCAAAAAATTCGTGACGCGATTTAAATGTTTTTAATTAGGGCGAAAACCAAAATTTATTGAAACGGAGAGGTTTGATGTAAATTTCTGGTTCATTTTTAATAAAATTGAAACCCTTCGATATTAAAAAGCACATATGTTTTATAGAAGAGCACACTTATGTCATAGTGTATAAAAAAGAAAACGCTAAAGAAGTATTTTTATTTAAGAAAGGAAGATAGATGCATAGAAAATTGATTGGCATAGATAATTTTATATATAAACAATTGATTACCTACCTTTATATCTTTCTTTAAATTTCTTTTAATTAGTAAATATGCCCGAATTTTTATATATGAATCCCCTGTCTCATAAACGAATTAAGGCTATTTCAATGGGATGAAATTTTGACATCGATACCTTGACTAAAATGATCGTAGTAATTTTAATTTTTAAATTAATTAGGTTTAAAAAATTCATTAAATTAAAGACAAAGTGAATGTAGAAAGGGTTTAAAGTGTTGGAAATTGTTTGAGATTACAATTGTATTATTTCTTGGCCCCCTTTTTTAATCATTCAATATTCTCCGGATAAGATAATCGGAGTAATTAATCCAAAAGTGTATGGACTAGGGTTGTTTTCAAAAATCTTCCATTGTTGGGCTATCAGAATCATTCGACTTTTAGACATTCTTATATATTCTTTTAGCATATACCCTGCTTTCTTGTAGGTAAACATTTCTTTCTAAAGGCATAGAATGCATTTGCAATTCTGTCTATCTTGCGGCTGGCGGGTCACTTGTTTTCCCAAAGGAAAGTAACCTTCTTTTCAAATTCTGAGATATCTTTATTACTGGTATTCTTTGTCTACAACAAAATTCCATTGCTACTGTCTTTCCAATAGCTTGAGGTATGTTAATTCTCCTTTTGCCAACATGTTTCCTTAATTAATTCATATCAAACTACTGGATTGAGAAGTAGTAAACATTTATCCCAATCGCAAAAAATTTTCAATTTGCAGCCTTTTCTTTTAGTCTTCT